TGTGATTAACTGCGGAGCGTTGTGAAAAGATTCGGCCGTGAGTTTTTATATATATATATATATTCCAACTCTGACGGTTAGAATGCTGACTTTTTTCCAAAGGATAGCATTGAAACTTAGAATGCCCCGAAAAACAGTTATACTGTTGTTTTCAGGTTTTTGAACTTTTTTGGGAAATCCATGCAAAGGCATTCTAACTTGCAGCTGGGATTCACCTTATAATGGGTATTGATGGATATCGCAAGGCCTTACTCCCTTCAAACTTCAGGATACGTCATGGATAATCCTGAGACTCATAATAAATAACAAGTATAAAAGTGCATTGTTCTACTCAGGATATAGTGGCATTGCCCAGTAACTTTTCACCCCTAAGGCTGATTTTTGAGTTTCCCAATATTGCATTCCATTTTTCAATAGAATAATCACACGAGGCTGCAGACGGGGGGTTCTCCGGGCGAAAACAGCACAAGCAAACGTCAGACGGGTCGAAAACGCGGAGCCTGCCTGTGTTTCTGATAAAGCGCGATTGCTTTGATGCATCGGAAAAGTGCAAAGACAAACTTTTGAATCCCCGCGAAGAAGTCCAATATGAACAGAGTAATGCCAGATTTGGACAAGGTGGTTTTAACATCCCCTCAATCAAGGTGTGGCTTCATGCTTTTTGCATATCGCATTTCATACTGAAAAAGCCCTCAACAATACTGCTGGCACCAGTGACAGTGACAAATGGATATGATGCTTTTTACAGTGTAAACCGCGGTACATTTGCACGGCCAAAAGAAAAACTATGTCTGATAGTCAGCCCTTTTTTTGTCTGATCACTTGCATTTCATGTTGTACTGTTTTGCAGCCGTAAGCTTCGACACGAAGAACATTTGTGTCTGTTTGGAATTTGTAGGGTCCTAGGTCCACTATAGGCGTGTCTACGCTATACGTGTGTAGCACCTGTTGTTCGTAGTTAGTTGTACATATACTCTTCAGTCAGCTTAACAGCAAAATTCATGTTGCTTTTGGCTCAAGACCACTAGAGCCCGCAATTGCACCGCTCGCCAAAGAAAAGTGTGCTCTCTGCCGTTCGCACACTTCCACACTCCGCTATCGAGTCTATTGGGTCTTACTTGGTGTTATCAATCAGGTCCAGTGTAGTTCACTGCCGCTTTGGGGAACTTACCCCTCACTCACCCCATTTTTAACACATGACTAATCGATGACAATGTTGTGGTCATGACAATGCTGTGATCGTTCACAATGTTGTGATCGATGACAGTGTTGTGATCGATGACAATTTTGTGATGCTGAAGTCCCCGATGTCCCCGACGTCCCCGATGATGCTGAAGTCCCCGGAGAACCCCCCGTCCAGAACCTCACAGGATATTACATGTAACAAAAGCACACATCCACCGTAAGGCCCCGTCCCAGTGCTCAGCCTCCAGCCGGCTCCTCTTCGGCGCCAGGAGGCCGAGGAATCCGAGAGTTCGGTGGAGTTGGACACCGTGGACTACCGGAACGAGGCCCCGAAGCCACGGCGCGACGCCACGGGCGCGGCACGCGCGCTCAACGCGCGGTTCGGAAGAAGAGGTGATCGAGGAGCCTTCGGTTGTTGGAGTCTTCAGTGCCTGAGAAGATGGATGTGTATAATATTGTATAATAGCTTAGTTGCGAGACATTCAGCCATTGTGTTTGGCCTCTGTATAATATATATATATATTTGTTCAAATATATTCCTTTCATACAAGGTCACCCTGTTTTACCGTAGAGTCCGAGAACATGATGAAATCGGATGATGTCAAGGAAAACATGGTTGGAGATTCACCCGGATCGAGTGTTTGAGGGATGGATCACCTGGAACCGGATCGATCAGCTGAACTCAACCTAGCTATGCAGCGAAGGAACAAATCATGTGTTGAAGCGACGGAAACGGAACACTCTGGAAGGGATTTGGTCAAGCTCCCTCGTTCAACCAAAGGAATCGATGTTCGAAGGCACAGTTTCTTTGACGCACAGTTTTTTCCCTCCCTTTTTGTCTCTCTCTCTCTCTCTCTCTTCCTTCAAACCGTTCTTGATTTCAGACCCTCACCTAAGCACCAAGTGGGACATCTCTGACCTCAACCCGTCGCGACCAGACCAGATCGGGTCTCCCAGGCTCGATGGGGCGCGCCAGAAGTCAGCCTCGGAGGCGCGCCGCTGGGTGTGGCCGGGGTGGGCGTAGGCGTTGGTGAAGCGCCCAGTCGGACTCACCCCATTTGGTAGACTCAGTAGACTGATGAAATAACACTCACCATCACTCACCCCATGCACGAATGCACGCACTTTCGGGGTCAACGCGCCCCTACAATGACACCACTTGTCAACAGGTGTGACGGGACCCCATTTGGATTGAGAAACCTCTTCTTAGTATGGGGGAGAGTTTGTGAATCAAGAGTCTACATGACCCTCGGAACACATTATATGTGCCCACGTGGATGGCAGCATGTGATCCGGCCCCTGACCATGAAATCAGACCAAACGGGGGGTGTATGTAACGTGACTCGGAGTGTAGCTTTCGTGCTTGCTTGGGGGGATGCTGTTAGTGAGTCGAGCGTATGAGAGGACTTGTCCAACATCCAAGACGGTGAGTGTGCCACATCCATACGAAATCGTCCTGCAACACTGTTTGGAATTCCCGGACACTCCATTGGACTGCCATATACTGTATGCCTACATTGACCCCCCCAAACCACCCCAATGTAAGCATGTATGACATACATGGAGTGTTTGGGATTGTTACTTGCTGCATCCTGCTACATCATATTCATATCCAACGATGTCCAATGAATAATTATCCGGATTCTTTGATTAGGGGTGCCCTGGTACCATCGGTAGTCACCAAACCGAAACAAGGAAGCTGCCGTGCTGTCGTCGAACTCTGTGGACCTGGTGTTCATGGTGGTGACTGTTTGCTCAATACATTGATGTGACAGGGATACCAGTGGCTTTTTGTGAGGGATCCCTGGTCCGTCAACCCGAGAGAAGGGTCCGGACGAAAGCCTGAATCTCGCTTCGCGATGCCTGCGCGAAGCGATGTCAGGCCTGTACCATAACAAGCACACCAAGAAGAACTGGCATCCGAGTGTCAGAATGAATCGAAAGCGACCTAAGAAGTACTTGAAGCGCAGCTTGGTGTGTATTTGGCGTTTAATCTCAAAAAGGAGAGGAGCCCAGCAAAGACCTTTGGTTTTCATATGCCTTGCTTTCTACCCTGCTGTTGTTCATTGTTTTTTTTTTTTTTTTTCCGAGGTCGACAGCCTTTTGTCCAATCACTGACAGCCTTGTGATGCGACTGTTTGGATTTCGAAGAAGGGACCTACCTCGGTGTTCGACACCGGACTCTCCGTCGTTTCTCGGGTTGGCAGCATTCCGGAGAGAGAGAGAGAGCATGTATGCAAAGGCACAGTGTGAGCGCAGAGTGTGTATGCAAACCTTTTCAGTCCTGTCTTTGCAATCATCAATCATCCATTGTTTAAGAACAAGAGTAGTTTATCTCTATGGTCATTCTGCGGCAATGAACAGGCAATTGGAGCAAAGGCCAGCCATGGACACACAGTCCAATTTCCAGCAAAAGCTTTTGCTCGACGCGCACATCCTCGAATGGCTGCAGACATGGTTTGCAAGCAAACGAAGAGACTGCGATACTTCCCGAAAGTTCTTCAAACTGGTTTGCGTTTGTCCATGTTTGTCCACGTATGAGGCGTACCGAACGAGAGTGCAAGACGTATGTACTCGCCTCCGCTTATGTAGTTCTAGCCTGTGTCCTGTTTGTTCTTAGTAAGACTTAGTTGAATAGTGGATCAATTCCCGGCCGCATCGGGCTGCCGGTTTTCACATACATTGTTGGGCCAGGCCCGGCCAGGCTCCAATTATGATATTAGTTTTTGTGCTGCAGCCTTGAAGATCCTCCAATGTACCACCGGCTCAAGCCATCGAAGCATCGAACCACCGGCTCAAGCCTGATCAGGGAACTTCGCAATCCAAGTGACCAACACAACTTGAGTTTACAGTTTACAGATCATGCAGGAGGCCCAAATACAACAAAGCTACAACGGGTAAGTTATATAAGTTATTTGCAATCAACTCTTTCTGCAGCAAATTTATAAATCTACATAAATCTACCTGTGTTGACCCAAGTTTGAACTGACATGACGACATGATGGGCCGAGTCTTCATCCGTTTGACATGTGGTGCAAATTGTCGGACTCTGCTTCTCAGCAAGGCATTGATGAGAAGTTGGAAGAGATGAAGAAGGAAGGCAAGCGTCAACTGAGCGAAGAGATGTCTCAAGCAGTCCCTGGGCACCACGGTGGGACGACGAAAACAAAGCACATAATTAAACTATCAACCTCTAAACTCCAAGGTGAACCGCAAAAGTTTCTTGTCCACTGGGAAGCAGTGACACAGTGGTATCAGACACAGTGGTATCAGTGGTGGTGGCAGTAGCGAGGAAGACCCTACGTACTATTACTGTACTGCTCCTACTACTGCTACTCCTACTCCTACTCCTACTCCGCCTCCTCCTCCTCCTCCTGCTGCTGCTGCTGCTGCCGTTTAGGTATTCTAAGGCATGTTCATGAAATTGATGCACTCAGGTGACGAAGTGGGAGAAGGCACAATTTGAACACAAAGAGGCCAAGCTGGTCCTGGAGAAGGCGGGCCTGGGGAGCACCAGTCGCCTGCGGTGCCGGGGCGAGTGGTATGAGTCGTTAGGAGTTTGATTCTGATGACGAAAATGCCTCCCATCTTCAGTGCCCCCTGAGTTCTTAAGTATATTAATAATATATTATATATGTCTTTGTCATGCCTCATCATGCCTTAATGATGTTGGTCCTTAATTGTAATTTGAATCCGCAATCCCGGATCTTTTGGTCTGAATTACAGTATGTCTTCACGAGTGGGGGGGATTGAAGGGGCATGTTCACCATCGGACCAAAAGGGCCGAACAGAAGGGAAGAGATCTTCATTGATCAAGCATCAACTGTTGTTTTTTCAGTCATGGTCTTGCCGGACACTGAAGCGAAGAACCTCGTGTTTGTCAAGGAGATTTTGGTGCGTTACCACTGTTACTAATGGGCTGTGATCATCGGATGTGAATTCTGCCATGTCACATCCTCGCAGTAGCGTGGAGACCTGATACCTTTTTTTTCAGACGCCAGCCTGAGCAAGGATCAAGAGAATCTCAAGAAGCTGAAGGCAGCAAAGCAGCAGGGCGTTGGTTTGGGATGCTACAAAACATTGCAACTATCTTTGGCTGTTCGCTGTTCTCCAAACCTTGCAACAGTGACTATTTGTTGAGGGATGCAGGGATGATTGCCATTTCCATGTCGTGTTTGGTTTGAACAAAATGTCTCCGCTGGCAGGTGGATGGGGGAAGCAGGCACAGCCCTAGGCCCTGGATATACAAGATTGACAAGTTCAACTCGACACCTCAAACAGCCTCAAACTATACCAGCTACATTACCAGCTACTGACAGGGCACGTTGGAGTATTGTCCAGCTCCATTTCTGGTAGCCTGGTAGCCCGTGAGTGGACATTGATTGCGATGTTTTCTCGGTTTGAACCGTGTAAGAGAAAAATCCATGCCAAGAGCTTCTGAAGTCTTCCGGGGAGTAGAAAGAAAAGCCGACATCTAGCCCTCTAAGCTAGCATGGAACAAAATATGACAAAGTCTTGTTGAATAGCTGTTTGGAGCATTCCATTTTTTTTTTGTAAAGCATGTTCTTGTTGCATTTTGTTGCTACCTGCCTTCGTTGTTGAAACCCAACTACTTCTATCTGGGGTGGTGGGTTAGAGCTGAACTGCGGCGCTGGGCAGCTTCCACTGAGGAGAAGGCCGAGAAGTTGCAGGGCGAGCTGGACCCGGGGTTTGAAGTTTCAGATTGCTCGAACGATCTGCGGACTTTGTCCCAGATGGGTGCCGTATGGTGCCGGCTGTGGCATGACGATTTTCAACAGGCATGTCTTCCAAGGGTGAGGGCAACACTTATGGTTAACCCCTCTACATCACAAGGTCAACCCTGCTGGATGGTGGTTTCTCAATGTGACCAGAGCGGCAGTCGGCGTTCAAACGCAGGCGGTCGGACCATAGGTTTCCGACTTAGATACGTCGCCGGTCGCGTAGTTCCATGGGTTGGTTCCATGTGAACAACTCCACTCAACCGCGACAGGGGCATCGCATGTCGCTTCGCCGAGTCGTTCCATGTCGTTCCAGGTCGTTCGGAGCGTTCCCTCGGGTGGGGATCATTGGGGTGTGGCCCCAAAACTGCCTATGGAATAAGAGAGAGAGAGAGAGAGAGAGAAAGAGTGGATAGTTAATGGTAATAAGTTAACAATTAACTGGACAATGTCAAGTATCCCACTATCCACTATCCCTATGGAATATAGTGGGACCATGTCAATTTACTGAGGCAAGAAGTTGAAGAATTTGCTGAGGGAACCAGAAAACACCGCCGCGAGGAATGGACCAACAACTATTTGGGCGAGGAGCGTGCCAAGTTTACCTCTTTGCCTTTGCTTTGCATCTTGGATTCAAGTATTTTTGATCGGTGGCAGAATCGAGGTTTCATGAGGTTTCTATGGTTTGGCAACTGTAAGCTTGCCAAACCAGGGCAAGGTGGAACTGGATCAAGGCCAAAGCAGTATGATAGTAGACATGGCCTTGCAGGTATAGGAGGTGCCCGGGCTTTAGGAGGTCAACTACTCAAACCAAGATGGAGGGCTTGCCCTCAGGCTGCTTTGGTGCTCCTTTGGCTTTGTGTGTGCTTGTTTCTCTTGAAAAGCGATATCTATATTTTGCTGTTTCCCTCACAAAATCTCACCGCGTGCGGTGGGAATCTCATTGGTAGTATGGGGGAATCGTTTTAAGTTCACCAACACCACATCATACTTTTGTGTGGCGGGTTGCACAATTCCCCTCCCGAAATATTAACACCATTGCCTTTGGTTTTGGAAAAAAATATGCTGTACCCAAATCGGGGGGATGTGGACAAATCCAGAATCCAGGGTGAACACAAGCATCAGCCTGGAAAAGGTGTATATATATATATAAGTTTGATTCACAAGTTCAGTTTCCGTCATTCCAGGCTGCAGTTTCCAATAGGAAGTTTTTTTTTCCAAAATGAAGAGGGCAGAGTCATACACCTGAAGTATGAACTCCGTATAAGAAAAAAGGCATCCAACTATATTCTTGTATCTCATTCATCATGTTATCTACCAAAGGTGAATGGTTGGTTGGGAAGGGACACCTTGAAATGTGAAACATTCAGGGTTAATACCCGATACTTGATGCTATGTTTGCTTCAAGTTCGGGTCTTTACCATGTCCTTTCGTTACGGCCTGTGTGGGCCGTCCCGCGGGTCCGTCACTTCTTGGGCCTGAGGTCCTGTGTGTCAGAACGAAGTGGATGCCAAAGTGGAGGAGAAAGTACCGGCGCCGGTGGAGAGTCTCTTGGTGTATGACGAGATCGTCTTTGGTCTCTCGTCGAGATCGTCTCTCCAGGTTCATCCTCGACAGAAGGTGAAGGTTTGGTCAGTCCTTTGGTGATCCTAGTCTCACGACAGATTGCACCGAACCCTTTGGGGTTCTTGTTGTGACTTGTGAGAGATTACTCAATAGTCATTCGTCCTTGGTCCTTATTGATTCTTCGGGGAACCTCGAAACGCAAGTTGCGCGTGGCCGGGCCATGATTTGAAGGCATTTTTGTTCGTTGACACCTCCAACCTTTGCATTTCGTTCCACTTCAGGTGAAGAACCAGAGAACGCAGAGGTGGAGGAGGATCAAGAGGACGGCTTCAGAGCTTCAGAGACGGCAGGTCATCCCTTTTTCACCAGAGCCACAGATTGGCGGCCTGGGGGAATTCTCTTTCAGAAGGAGTGGTCTCTTCACATGATGGAGGATTCTTTCGGATGCGCTTTGCAGTATGTGGCAACTGTTTCTCTTGGATTCGTATGTCCGAGCCATTTCGGACAGTGGAAAGTGTCACCTTTTCCGTTGTTCCGTAGGTCGGTGTTGGGGATGGTCCCGGAGAATGTGGTTTTGCATTTGTCTAAAATCATGTCAGGCTAGGCTGCTTTGGTGCTGATAGGCTGCTTTGGTGATGCTGGATGTTATGGTTATATTTTTTGAGGAGCCGCATTGGTCCTCTTTTTTCCCCTGCAACAAGGTGTTTCACGCTGTCTGTATAATAGCGTTGCTTCAAGGGCACTTGCCTTGTCAGATTGACAAACACTGCTGAGAGTCGCCAGGTAAGATTTGACCCGGGCAAACTGACAAGCATCGTTTGTAAGCAACTCTCCAGCCTACTGTGAATCTACCATATGTATGTGTAAACATGATGCACAATTACATAGTCTTAATCCTTTTGCTACCCTCCTCAGAAAGATGCTGCAACTGCTTCCTCAATTCCCACCATGATGCGATTTTGAGCCGGTCAGCGACCAGGGTTTGCTTAAGCCAGTGGGACCCAGGATCCAGAACCAGCTTGTCTCCCCCGCAGAACGCCATAGCCCTGTTTCTAAGCCGAGGTTCATCCACCCAACCAACCACTCAAGAATTCTGCACCCCTGAGCGACCCTCGCCAAGCTCTTAACTTCGCGGAGGAGGTGGCTCGCCAAGCTCTTTTGGGAGAAGAGGTGGCGCTGCTTGTGCTGTGGTAGTGTTTTTAGAGGAGCGTGATCCTAGATGTTACACTACCCCAAAGTACCATGGATCAGACCAGACACTTATATAGCAGGGAAGAGTTAGGATTTGAGCATATACTGTGGATAATGTTCAGTCTAGATGAGAAAATCAAATACTTTCACGAAAGAAAGCATAGGTTCCATGGCCTTGTGGAGACAGAGCATACGGCGGGAGACTCATTCGACAGGGCACGCATTGGGCAGGATTTTTTAATGTCTATTTTATATTAGCTGGCTGAATTGCTTGGACCAACAACCTGGACGGACAACCTGGACAGTCATTCATTTGTATATAGGGTTTCTTGTTGTCCACCAACCAGCTGCTACATGATGAAACAGCATGAAAACAGTAATCAACAGCTCAGGTGGCACATCAAATACCTCGACCCCAGTAGCACTTACCAATCAGTTGAGGAATTGTTCCTCCACTAATTTGGTACAAGCATGTTTGATGTCTATCGTCCACAATGCTCCTGTTGTCACTGTGGGTGGAACTGCTTGGTTCTCCTACCTGACTCATCCCTGCTCCTACTTCTTCCTCTTATTGGCTTGCTCTTTGGTGGACGTGGGAAACAACGTCATGAAGACAGACAGCGGTGCTCCATGTCCAGTTTCAGCGGTTCATGTGTGGATCTTTGCGGTTCGACTCAGAAAGTGGTTAGCTTCCACCCAGAATGGGCCTGGGTGAGGAGAGAGAACAGTTCATCCGGGTATCGTGATTCTGCTGCTCTAGCCTGATTCTGCTAGGAGTGGTTTGGGATATTGGATTGAAACCTTGGGATGACAGACAGATGCAGGAAACGCCGGTGGCTTCTAGTCTAAGTTTGCCATCAATGTTCTCTAAGTCTCCCACATTCTCTCTCTAACCTCGTTCTTAAGACCTAGACTAGCCTTTTGTGCAAACTGCCTCGTGTTTGCCTCTTCTGGACAAATATTAATGCCAAGCATTGTCTAATGGGCCGTTTTGTTCTGTCAGGAGAAGAAGCGACAGAAAGCAGCAGCCGACCTGGCAGCGCTCGAAGAGAAGATGGTCTTTATGAGCCTTGGAGACAGCCGGATTGCTTGGCAGGTGCTCGAAGAGAATATGGTGCATGTCACAGACCACAGAGGTGGCGTGTTTCCTTTGCAGCATTGGTGCAGTTTTGAGAGACACGTTTGACACGTTAAGGCAGTGTCGTGAAGGCAGGAAGTGGTTTCGTCTCCGGTCTTTTTCCAGCTGTTCGCTAGTAGGTTGGAGGCCATCGCTACTAGGGTGGAGGCCATCGCTTACTATGCCGCATAGAACATTATTATACTTGTTGATATGTTTATTCTGTTTACGCAGGAAGGCCTTGATCTGCAGTGCGGAGGCCATGTATCATGTGTCACGATTGATGCCCATGGCCCATGGTGCTTGGCCACAAACCGCAACAGCACCCAGCTTGCAAGAGTCCCCCCCCAAAGATATGATGTGTGTTTGTATTGAATTACGTAGGGGGCACTCGGGCACTAGATCCCCGAAGAACAACAAAGAGCACATGAAAACCCCCAAACCAACCCCGCGGCGTTGGTAGAACCTTTACTTTGTTCTGTGTAAGCACACGTGGGGTGTGGGAAGCATAGCTAGGCAGCTAGGCAGCATAGCATTCATTCGCTTTGTCATGTTTGGTCCATCTCTCAGGATGACCAAAGGCAAGGCCAAGGAGTCCGAAGACACAGATGTGGTGGAAGGGCCCACGCCCAATGAAGAGGAAACCGATGCTTAGCATGAAAGGCGGCGATGTTGGATTTAATTATGCAATTTTGTGTTCATTAACACATTGTACATGGGTATTGGAGGTTCGTCAAGTTTTTAGCTATATACTGTAAGGGGTTTTAGGAGGGTTCTTTGCACCAACATCCCATGTCCCACGATATAAACATCCCTTTTACTAAAATACCGATTCCAGAATGTTTTACACAACAGGCGGGGATCTCTGAGTCAATGTGGTCGAAATTTTGAAATCGTCGAGGAATATTCAAATTCCCGATCGCCGATGGCCCAGTTTGCACTCCTGTCTCCTGTCCGGACAAAGATTTCCATGATTAACTTCTTGAGTCGAACAACACCAGCTTTTTGGAAGTCCTGGTCCTTCCATGTGGATAGGTCATTTAGATAGGTCCTTTCATGTTGACTGCTTCTTTGCTTGCCTTGTGCTTGTTTGAGGTTAGTTCTGGGGCAGGGTTTGATCCATTCTGCGCAACATCCTTTTCCAACTGCGTTGGAACTTCTGGGCGCTTTTGGGGCAAGTTATCCACTTTGGTTTTGGGCTCATTCACCAGTTAGACTCCTTGAGATACATGGACTGACATACAAAGAACCACCGAAAGTCCAGCAATCTACAAATTGAAATGATGCTTGCAAACGCATTCAGCGTGAGACATGGCCTCGCACAACCAATTCATTTCCGTTAAAGCAACCAATGAGATTCATTGCATCAAATCCTGCTAGGTAGGCAATTGCAAGTAATCCAACTCATCCGGATACTGCATTTCTCAAACAGCTACGACCAACCACTCTGTGGTTCAATGTTCCGGGGTGGAGCATACTTGCAAGGAAGAGCCTGAACACATGAAGGATGAAAGCGAAGAAGCTACGACTTTGGAGGTGAAGATGGAGCAGATCAGATCTGATCAGATGAAGATGGACGAGCTCAGTCCACCGCGCAAGGAGAAAGCACATGGTTGACAGAACAGCCGGCAACCCTGGGACATGTGAGGTTGGTGTTATGGGGCAACACAAGCTTCCTAGTCAATCTAAAATAGTATAACAATGCTGTACATTGCTGTATAACATAATCTATAAATATATATCATACATTAGATATATATATATATATGTATCGTGTCCTGCCGTCCGTCATGGGATTACATCAATTGTTTGTCAAGTGGTGCAACTCTAATTAATCAGCCAATCAGCCAATGCCACACATGAGAATTGCAATGATTGGATGCACATCCCGATTTTGGTTTTAGCTGAAGCTTCATCCCAGCACTGGGAATGCAGAAATCCCAGAGGAGCTTGATGACGAGCTGTTGACCACCATCGAACTGCTCATGGAAGCCTACAGCAACTTTGAAGTGCACAAATCGTGGATTTCTTCGACGCTGCAATTGGTGTGAACTTGTGAAGTGACATTCCCTTGGTAGACGAACTGGTAGACCATTCTGTCAAGAATTTTTGCCCTGCTGGCTTTGTAGGGTTCGAAGGAGAGCTATGTTTTTGAGTCACCAAGCTCCAACCTGCCTGGTGGGACTCTAGGGTAGCTGAAACCCCTAGATGGTAGCTGGTAGCTGGTCATGCTAGGTCCAAAGTCTGTAGATTGATTCCAAGGAAGGTCATGCATACACTGATCCTACCGATCCTACCGGTTTGGTATCCTTAGGGGTTTGGTGAGAGGTTGACAGGTGGAGATAGAGATAGACCAGAAAAGGTGAGGGCGCTTTGGTGCGAGGAAAACCGCGCGGCGTAGTGCGAGTTTCAGCCGTGGTGCTGGACGTCTTCCCACGTCACCAGTTGCAGAACTGGTGGACGATGACCAGACGACCATGGAGTCACATGGTGCACATCATCAGACGACCATAGCAAGAATACAGGGCGCTCGGATACTCCAAAACTAGGGATTGTGGATCCGTGTGGATCATGGGGTTGGTAGGGGCTTGGAGAATGATGAGTTTCAGTGCTACAGGCGAGAAGACAGTGGATGGCCAAGAGCTTTTAGCACCTTGGCTGACCTTGGCTGATCAGAGCAAAGTGGTCAGCGCGGACTTTGAGTGTAGGATTGTAGCCTTGTATTGTGTACGTGTGTGGTTGACCAGGAGAAGACTCAGAAATACTTGGCCAGTTTATCACAGGAAGATGCATGCATACATATCATATATACACCAAGGCTATACTGGTCAATCTCATGTTCTTGTTGGAACAATTGGTTTGCTTCACTTATAAACAACTAACTCTTATCATCTCTTATCCTTTCATCACTTGGAAGATGAAACGCACCCAACCTTTGGGAACAAGTCCCAACGACTTTCCCAAGCGTTTCACGGATGGTGTCAAGCAGCCAGCGCGTTTGAGCGCGTGGTTCCTGGAGGAGCCCTTCACGGAACTGCTGGAGGTCTTGCGCGAGAGCGAAGAGAAGACAGATCAAGAAATCAAGGCCAGAGTAGCCAAACATGGAAATGATCTACTTTTTGTAGGGCACTCCAGACGAGAACAAGACTTCCAGTGTCATGATGGGTAGCTGTACATTTGCACATCAATGATAGAACTCATTCCAGATTATCCCATCATTGCCTGACTTCATGTTGAAAAGCTGTTCTTTCACCATCCTCCAATGCGTTGCTCGCACAACATCCCCGCAACATCCTGAAACTAATGCAGACATGTTCAGGAGGATGCTTCCAGATCTAACGCCCACGTCGAGAGCCTGAGAGCCTCGCATCATGTATTTCTAGGGTGAGATGGCCCACGACTTGCATGTATATGCGTGTGATAGAAACAGAAGGGATCATCCCCGTGTAACGGATTGTTCTGAGTGTGCTTGCAAGGTATTCAAGAGCAGGCAATGCATGGCAATGCCGTGTTCGTCAAATCCAATCCTTTGGTTTGAGCACGAGAATGTTCTGGTCAGGAAGTTTGAGAGTTTGTGTTGTGTGTTTGGTACGTCAGTCTTGATAGAAGCACACACAAGACATGAGATAAAGGCCTGAATCTCAGTGGCCCAGATGGTTTGTTGTGCTAGTTCAACGGCTAGAAGAAAAGGCCGTCTCTTCTGTTGGACGGACCAGCCTGGTACACTGCTAGTTGCTGCTAGTTTTTGTTTGGCAGGATGTGCTGTTGGAAGTGATTGGCATCATCCAAGAGGAGAGCTGAAATTTGGAGGTCGTGTCCTTGACCGAAGGGAAGAGCGCAGCTTGTCACAGGCTTATTGGACATTGGACATACAAGCCCTTACGAGTCCCAATGGGATTTACTTTACCAGGACGCCAACAATGAACATGGAGCTGGCAGTTCAATGAGTTTTCACCATCTCTCAGATGATTTGACCGGTCTGGTCATAAATCAAGTGCAGTTTGGACTGGTCATTGTGGTCACACATGGTTCATTCAAGACTCGCTATTGAAACCAGACTGAGTTTGTGCTTTGCGTTCATGGTTTTCATCGGAGGCATCGAGGAGCAATATGTGGCATTTCTGCACGGATGGAAACGGTGTATGACCTACCTGAGCTTTTGATGGTTGCGCAGTTGATCACCTTTGCATTTGTTCAATCTAGGCTAGGTTTCTGAATTCTGCAGTTCATTTTGCTCAACAAGATCCTGGAACTGCTTCCCCTGTTTGGACGTCTGAGGTACTCAGGGACCAGAAGCAGCAAAGACTTGTACGCGCCCAGCCTCCCCAGAAAAAGAGTTGCAGCGCGGGGGGTTGTGAAGACACCCTAAATCACCCTAATCTTATGTACTGGGGTTAGCTCTTCAAAAAGGTGATACAGTAGGTTCATGTAGCTTCAAAGTAGCTCCACAAATTATACAGATGGTGATGGTATTGTATAAACGATGGCTGGTGCTGATTTGCATAGGCCACCTCTTAGGGGTTGTGACGGATTCAGATTTGCGCATTTTAAGCCACAGCAATGAACAAGTTCACCATGCAGTCAGTTGTTCGCTTTTCTCCTCTTTCTCCAATGGAACCTGGAACAGAACTGAACTGGCGAGACCGAAGAAATCAGAAAGAGAGATCGACAGAAAGAGGATGAGAGGTCAAAACAGTGCTGTGTGTGGCTGCAGCTCAAAACAAATATAATATATACTGTATAAATCTATATAATTCAACTCGGACTAGCAAGATAATAATGGGTCGTTTAAATGCGCTGACTCCTCACCTGACATTACCTCCATCCAAGTATAGTCCAGACATATCTAGTTTGGGTGTTAAAGCAATCAAAGAATCCAGCCTATCAGTGACCCAGTTGGACCATTTTGGGTTTCTTTGCGACTGGCAATGGGCATGTCAACAGCTCGTTTGCAGAATTTGGCCAGTATAGGACTCAGACAGGACACAAACATCTATAAACATCTGGCTTTAAAGACAAATTGACGCTCACACCCTGACCCGGTGCGGTTGTCATATATATATGTTTTTTGTCGCACTGGCCGGGTGATTATGGCCAAGCACAAAAAACCCCTTGGGGTGCCACTCTTTTGGCCAAGCACAGAGCCCAACGTAGCTGCCCAAATCTGTGGGGTTGCTCTCCTGGAGTACGTCGCCCCAACGGAAAGTCTCCTGTTCAAAGTCCTACCCCAAATGCATAGCGAAGGGTTCTCGTTTAACTCTGGCGGGTAGAGCTTTGTGTTCCATCTTGTTTTTACGGTTGTGTATGTTTCTATATTTTTCTAAGAGTTTCCCTATCAGTGAATCCCCTGCTGGAGAAGATATTGTGATCCCCAATTTCCTTCAGCAAATCCAAGGACGCTACTAGTAGCTCCTGTCCTTACCACTAGGAACAAGAAGCTACTAGGAACGAAGGGCATCGCTACTAGGAGCAAGGACGCTACCGCTACTAGTAGCTCCTTGGAATCACTGCCACGAAACGACTCTCAGCGGAGTCCTTGGGATCATAGTCACCTCTCGTCCTTCACGACGAAGAGGTGACGCCAACCTCTTCGAGGACGGTCATGGAGAAAAGCACATGGCCTGGACCGGGAGGTGTTAGGCGAGGTTCCTCCGAACACCTGCATATCTAATACGTTAGTGTATACATTATATGATATATTGTCTTTATCATCGCGTGGTCCGGTGAGACGCCCCCTGGCGTACGCGTCACTTTGGGCGACGTACGCAACGTCAAGACCCCTCTATACAAAACAAAGCAGACTAGGACCATGTATATATATAACACCTAGGGTTCAGATGAAAGCCCGAGGTTTTCAATCAGAACACAAGGTGTTGAACCTTTGCTCCCGGCAGGATTCCGGAGTGTGCTATATATTGCATATATATATATATGCATTTATATATGATCACGTTTAATATGGTTTAACAATATTGTTCCTGCTTATGCTCACACCTTTTCATGGTGCGCGGATGAACACCCAATTAATTATCAGTTGTGACAAGGAAAGATTTGGACTCAGACAGCGAGAACTTACGGCGATGCTTTGTGTGCAAAGATGCCCCATATTGAGGCACACAATTTGTTATCTAAACTATATAAGGGCTTGAACCAGTGGGTCCTTAGCTCTTGCCTTCTTCAAAAGCAGCTACACGCAGAAAGCTGCAACATGTGAAAGATTCATTGCCAGCCACATCCAAAATATTGAACACCCACGTCTCAGGTTTCAGTTCCAGCGCTTCTATTCTTGCAGGAAACGACGGTGGAGGTCAGCAAGAAGGAAAAGGCCAGTTCTGAAGGACTGCGACGGGCAACCTGGATGTTCTTCCTACAGGGCTCCAGCCCGAAAACACGATTGCCCCCTAATGATGCATTGTTTATTTATATAGTCAGGACCAATTAGAGGATTGCCAAAAACAGTTTGTGGGATTTAAACTTGAGCGCTCTGAAGGCCCGATATGGCAAGATGTTGTTTTCATTTGTTGTCCGGTCTGCGTACGATTTGATTGCCCTCGCAACCATCGTTGGTTGGAAATTTGCAGTTCCCTTCCCTCTTCGATCGTCCAGGAACAACCAAACAAGAGAATCAACCTGCAGTCTTTCCATCTTGCAACGGACAAATACATCAAGGTTCTTTGGAAGGTCTTGGGAGTCTTGGGTTTGTATATGTCAAAGAGTGCCTCCACTGGCATGGCTTTGCAGGAATCGTCATCGACATGGTATGGCTGCAGTGGTTTTAGCGGTACGGTCCCAAAAGCCCTCCGACGTCCCCACCAGCGTCCGCGCGGTTTGACAATTTGACAGTTCTTGTTCTTCCCAGTGATCCAAGATTCCAGCGGTTTGGTCTGAAAAATAACATTAACAACTGATAGAATACCCCTTAGGCAGTTATCTCTCAAAATAATAACACAAAAGCTGCTCATCTACTGAAGAAGCGAGCCGATTTTCTCGTGATTCTCGATGCACGACGGGCAGGTGCCCTACTTCAAGACCAAGTTGGACTTACGGCCCGTTGTCGATCACACCGCTGCTTGGTCGAACAGGTGAACAGGGTGAACGTCTAGGGATACACTGGGACGGCGAAGCGCCGGCTGCAGGGGACATATGAGATGCTTCATCAATCATTCCGAAGTCCAGAACAACTGAGATGTGTGCAGCAGTCCTACTGATGCAACATGTGGATTTCCTATTCCGTACTAGTAGTTTGCGGGAATCTATGTGGCTTCTCTGGATGTTTACAGGCTTTGATTGTGACTTCGGCTACACCGGCAACGTGACTTCATCCGGTGCCAACGGACTCCACCGGCGAAGCGGCTACTCTTGCTTGAGATGGAAGGGTTCCACCGCCGATCTTGCCAGATCGCATCGACTTGTGTCCAACTCGGTCCCTTCTCATCACATGAATGGAACGATGTATATAATGTGATATTATATATGTTTGTATATAAAAATGTGTCTATCGGAAGAGCGAGATCGTCCCAACTCCCTTCCCCTACTTTCCCAATCCGCATGTTATGTCGGCGATCACCGAGGTCTTCCAGGAAGCTGCTTCCCAGCGGCCGGGCGAACACCCGGAGGGGGGAACAGGCATTTTTATTTGTGTACTGTTTCTAAGACAAGGACATGGGGCGTGAGTTCTATCGAACTCGCGAGCGATGAAGAAGTCATGAAAAGTCCATACATACCCCTTCCAAGAGTCTTCCAAGAGGTATAAAGAAATAGCCTCTTAGCTGTGTCATGGGTGTCCATGATTTGCCAATCTATCGACCTTTGCACACAAACATTACTTACTTAATATGACATGTGGTGAGTTTGTTCTGTTTTGGTTCATGTGTTTGGTGTTGACCGTCGACCCACTGGATTGATCTCGATGACGGGGAGTGGGGCGAACTTCAGAACCGACATGTTCCATCGGTGAGGTTCAGACGGGAAGGGCAGTTGAGTGGACGGTTTTTCTTACAGGTTGAAGTGCCGGTGAAAGATGCTTCCAGTGGTTTTTGTTGGTCTGTCACTCGGCAGGGAAGCTAGCTTGTAGTCAGGATTGAACAATGTTCATCAATTTTCATCACAAGCCAGGACAGCACGGTCTAATATGGTCAAAGGTGTTCTTATTTATTTCAATGTTGATAGCTTTTCTGCATGTGTTTCTTCACATCGATTCGTTCCCTTTGGTCCCCCGCGGGACCCTTGCCGCGTGGGTTGTTCCCTTAGTCGGAGCGCTTTCTCCCACCGAGGCAGGGCCCATTCCAGCGACTGAAGAAGTTTCGGGAGCTGGGCATCTATCAGTCCGCCCAGCCGAGAAGAGCGACGAACAGCGATGAACAGCGACGAAGCGCGGGATGGAGGGTTTGCAGTCTGCGCAGTGCAGGTTTGTGCTGCGGAGCTTTGGTGATCGACATTGATTGACGGTTGGCAACGGATGGCAAGGTTGTGACGGTTTTTGGGATGGCAGGGGTTGTCACATGTATTTAGACGGTGAAATGGATGTGACAGAGTTGGGGTGTTTTTGGACTTGTGTGGGTTCAAGAACGAGTGAAGAAAACCCTACAATCTGGCGACATGGGCTCTGGGGCACTGCGAAAGGTAATAAAACTATGTGAACGGGTCATGTTGGGCCAGGACCGTTTTGGCCGGTTTGGGAAGAAGGCATGACGTCCAAGCTGTGCTGCTTGCAATTCTGAATTGACAGATTGAGGTGAATCCGAACTGTCGGCCCTGGCATGGATGCAGGACTCTTTTTGGCCACACGGATGTGACCCCAATTCAGCACGGAACCGTTTGTTCTGTATTGGCAACCCTTTTCCTTGTACGGGCTCGAATTTTTGTCACGTCCGAGGTTAGGGCCCCTGTACTGTACTTCCTGGATCAAAGCAAGGGTGCGTCCCATGAGCAGTAACCGTCGATCAACCCATCATCAGAATTTATGGGGAAAGGTTTGGATGAAGTTACTCAATATCGTCATCCACAGTCAAATATTACATATATACACCCAAATTATCATGCTTCATCGCAATCATTATGGGTGCCTTTTCTCCGCTTTTTGCAATCAGCTGATGACCTATCTTTGACACCCCTGAGCGGTATTGATGTGTGGTTTTGCTCTTCAATGTGAGCCGTGTTGTTGTTGATGATGTTTTTGTTGGTTGTTGTTGTGGTTGTTGGTTGTTGGTGGTTTGTGGTTGGTTGTTGTTGGTTGCTTTTGTTGGTTGCGGTTGCTGGTGGTTTGTGGTTTGTTGTTGGTAGAGACAAAACAGACACCCAACATAATCCGGTCCACCTAATAAACACGCCACCCCCCCCTATTAAAAGAAACACAGTCGCATTTTTTCTAATAGGGGGTCCCTGAAATCGGGGGGTCCAAAATAGGGTCACCTGGAAAGAGTTTCAAAACCAAGAAGTAATCCAGTAAAATTTTATGTAAAATCCTTTATTAAATTCGTATCAAAAATGCAAAAAACATCCAGATCGAAGGGACTTCCTTTTCCCCTACAAAAACCTTCATTAGAATAGTGATTCTTCAGTAGACTAACAGCTAAAGCTTTCGAAAGGTGATGTCGCTGTGCCATGCGGTGTTGCATGACCTCGGTGGCAAGTGCGTTTGCGTGAGTCCGTGCCGTTGGGGGAAGGAAAGCCTGCTGGTGTAAGCGCGTCGTGTCATGGTGGAGTTTTGGGGAACCTAATTTAAAAAACTACCCCCAAAATCGACCATGTTGGTAGTTTAGTAGCGGCTTGAAAGGGCGGCAATTTAAAACAAAATAAAAACCGAATTTAGGGGTTCGGACGTTGTGTTTTTAATTGGGGAGTGTTTATTAATAGGTACTCGGGATTAGTTCTCACATGTTGCAAGTCAGGGATTTCAAAGGGACACTGTTTGTGATAGGGCTGAATTTTTCGAAGATATGTGAGTTTGCTAAGTAGCTGGACCTACCCTCAACGTCACGTAGGCAACCAGTGCGCGTAGCCTTTGGGGCTTGGTCATGGGTTTGGAGGGTCCATGTACAGCCCTTCTAGATCCAGACCCTGAGTACCCAAAACCAGCCAACATGTTCTTTTCCTATCAGCATAGAGGCCAAATGGTGGCATTTTTGGTGTCTTTGCCCAGGCCACAACTCTTCATCTCTGATTTTTGGCTCCTCGAGAAGGCATGGGGAACGGATGTGTGAAACATGAGGCAGCCTTTAACTGTACTCCCTTTTACCAGGAACCAATATGTTTCGTCAAGAACCAATCGGACACGAATTGATCACAGTGGGCGCAGCGGCATCCTAGCGAACCGCTCAGCGCAGCTTGGCTGTTGATCAGGAGAGAAAGATTGTGACAGGATTGGACAAACTATGCACCTCTGGGCGCAGGGATCCTAGCTGTTCTGTGAGTTCAAGTTTCAGCTCAAGCTCACCTGTTTTTCCGCGCGCCGATGGGGGACCTTGGACTGCTGTGCACCTGGCTCAGTGTTTATTTCTCTGCCGCCTGGTGCTGGGGCACTCCCAGCCTTCACGAGGCCTATGCCAACTGTTTGCCTTTTTTAGGGTTGGATCAGAGCCTACGGCGAAAGGTCTGGCAGCACAGGCAGAAGTTCACCCCCACCTGGATCGTGGCCTTTCTCAAGACCTTTGAGGTCTTCAACTTGACACTCAGCCTCCTCAATCCAAGAGTTTCACCTTCAGGGTTTCCTACTGTTTGATGATCTTTGTGTGCCTTCTCAAGCGATCTTTTTGGCATTTCGAGTGAGCTTCCCAGCCCAGTGGGCAACACAGTTCTTGCAAGACTGGCAGTTCTTCACAAACCTCATTGGGATGATTGGCATCCGCTGGTCGTGCCAGCCAGCCGCGCGGACATGCTTCTTGTCCCGAACGGAACTCGGGGCGGGTATCATTGTAGGGTTTTGATTGGTTGCAGGTGGGTGAATGTAGAATGAGCGGGTCCAATACTATAAACTACTGGAAAACGTCTGGAAAAGGGGCTGCATATCATGCAGGTCAGGCTCAGGAAGAATCCCCAATCAGGACCTGAGATGTGGTTCAAAGCCGAGGCTTGTGGGTACCGAAAGTCTTCTCCGGCCTTTGCGTTTTTTCTTCACTCATGTGTCACGTGCATTATCCCAACGAAATGCAGCATGGCAATGCTTTGATCTGCCTGGCGGTACACTTGTTCATCGGCGATCCGTACTTTGGTCTCGCCTTGAGAGTCGCCTTGATCCCCTTAGGCGCGGGATTGCGGATAGGCGGTTGGATGGCAGACTCCAAGGATTTGAGCTTGGTCATGTTCTTCTTCATGAATGAAGCGCTCTGCTGTTTTGCCTTCCTATTGATGCTTGGTTCACTCAGTTCAAAATGGGTTTTCTATGTTCATTCCTGGTATACATACTGTTGGATACTTTTGGATTTGTATGTGTTTGAAGGAGCGCAAAGATTTTAATTCCTCAGGTTCCTAGAGTTCTCATTGCTCAGGATTTTCAAGTACTTTGAGTTCTTGTTGGGCCAACTTCAGCAGACGGCCACAGACCTCCAAGTCCAGATGCAACAGAGGGAGCAAGACGCCAGAGAGACCAAGGAGATCTGCAGATTCAGTCCATTGATTGAATCAATGCGTCTAAAACGTCTATATCTACATACGGTTATGCCATTAAAATATGTGGAGGGCGGCCCAGAGTTAATCCTCCCGGAGGTAGTGTATAATTCATATTCTGTCCGTATGTTTGGGGGCGACAGGCGGCTCCGCATATTTAAATGTGCAGTTCCTTCATCATTCACAACAATAGAAAAACAGCAGGATTGCCAAAGCGCCAAAGTCTCCATCCCACACCCCTCCACAAAGCGCCAAAAAAGGCCACTAGGAAAACAAAGAAGCAGCAGGATTGCCAAAGCGGCAAAGCCCCACATAGCCCCACATGGTGGTAACGATTCATGTAGCCACACTAAGCTCATGAAACCCTCCATGTAAGGCCCTCCTGCCAAAGGCCTCCACGCAAGGCCAGCCAAGGCCCCCACGTAAGTCCCAAGCTCAAGCCCCCATCTAAGCCCATGAAACCCTTCACGCCCCGCCAAAGGCCTCCACGTAAGGCCAAGGCCCTCCACGTAAGTCCCAAGGTCAAGCTCCCATCTAAGCCCATGAAACCCTCCAGCAAGGCCCTCCCGCCAAAGGCCTCCACGTAAGGCAAGCCTCCTTACGTGGACCCTCCTTCCCTAGACCCCCCATGCATGGACCCCACCCAGGTGGACTCTCTAAATCAACTTTCCTTACGTGGACCTGTCCGTGCATGGACCCTCCGTGCGTGGACCCTCCTTGTGTGGACCGCCCTGCGTGGAGCCCCTTACATGGACTCTCTTACATGGACCCTACCTAGGTGGACCCTCCACACTGCTTATGTGGACCCTCCTTACGTGGAGCCTCCTTCCCTTGCACTTTTACCGTTCGTATTCCAATGTGGATCCACCATTTGCCACCAAAAATCAGGCAATTTGCTGTCACCTGAAGAGTGCCGTTTGGCCGCATCTTTCGACTCATGTCGACAGCAAGGCCGTCCTCGCTGGTTGCCGCCTGAGAATTAGTAGAACAGAGTTACGCCAGATATTAGCAGCATTTGTTTGGTGTATGTCTAGCATATGTTCAAAGAATAGGTTGGTCAATTTGTTGTGCGTCTAGCATACTTTTAACAACTTGGTTGTTATATTTGTTGTGTTTCTGTGGCATATGTTCTATAAATTGGTTTCTTTTGTGTGTGTGTGTGTCACACCCTGTTTCTAAGGGTTTTCCAATCACTCCCACTTTCCACACAAGCAGGGGGGCAAGGCCTCCAGCGATGAACCTTGTCCAACGAAGCTAAGTCGCTGGAGGGGAAGCACTGAGAGACGTCTCAGTGTGTACCTGCTTCAACGGTTGCGCAAGCTGTTCCAATCCTCTTTTTTGATTCCATGGTAGTTCATGATACTTCCCACAAACCCTTCCACTTTCTCACGCAGCGGAATTGTAAAGAGGCTCGCCACCGCACACCTGTCGAAACTTTGTTCACAACAATACGGTTTTGCTGACCCATGCACCTTTCCGTTCCATCGCCATCCTTCCCACCGTGGCAATTGAGTTAACTGAAAACCAGTGTCAGAGTGTGAGCCGCTCAGTCTTCCCACTTGGGTGCTGGGTGTGACCCTCCGAAAGGAGGCTCCGAAACCATTCCGGATTTCACTGGCCCTTCATATTTCCCTGGTTTGTTCATTTCTATCACTGAATTAACGGATTTTCGAGCCGCCGGGCCATAAACGATGGATTCCCTTATGATTACCTGACTCATTCCGTCTTGCATTGTCACGATGTTGTTTACTGCATTTCCCAACTTTTTAACCCGCAGCCATTTGATCAGCTTCCACATGTTTTACGCCACTTCGCATTGCATTTCACGCCATAAGTTCACCTTACCTTTCCTCACTGCAGATCCACCAGAGCTCAGGAATCTTTCAGTACAGCCGCGGCAGAAGCACTGGTCCAACTCTACGCCCAAAAAGGGCACGACCTGCAAGCGTGCAGGCGGTTTTTGAAAAAAGGTACCTTTTTCCACTGCTCTGCATTCGCGCCGAGTTCGGCTTGTTGTGTGTGTCACACCCTGTTTCTAAGGGTTTTCCAATCACTCCCACTTTCCACACAAGCAGGGGGGCAAGGCCTCCAGCGATGAACCTTGTCCAACGAAGCTAAGTCGCTGGAGGGGAAGCACTGAGAGACGTCTCAGTGTGTACCTGCTTCAACGGTTGCGCAAGCTGTTCCAATCCTCTTTTTTGATTCCATGGTAGTTCATGATACTTCCCACAAACCCTTCCACTTTCTCACGCAGCGGAATTGTACAGAGGCTCGCCACCGCACACCTGTCGAAACTTTGTTCAACAATACGGTTTTGCTGACCCATGCACCTTTCCGTTCCATCGCCATCCTTCTCACCGTGGCAATTGAGTTAACTGAAAACCAGTGTCAGAGTGTGTCAACCCCTGTTTCCAAGGGTTCCACCCCACAATTTCCACTGTTCAAGCAGGGGGCCAGCGGCCGACAAGCAAACGCTGGCTAACAAAGCTATGCTTGTTCGGTGGATGCACAGTCTGATCAACTGTGCGTACCTGCGCCAAACTTTTGATCAAGCTGTTCCAATCCTCCTTTTTTGATTCCATGGTGGTTCATGATACCTTCCCCTAAACCTTTCTTTCGTCGCTTTCTCGTGCAGCTGAGTCGTGCAGATGCTCGCCACCGCAGACATGTCAACAGATTGTTCAATCAATACAAATGCGCTGACCTCTTCACCTTGCGCTTCCTTCACCTTCCTTCTCGACTTGGGAACTGAGCTGACTGAAAACCAATGTCAGAGTGTGAACCGCTCAGCCGTCCCACTTGGGTGCTGGGTGTGATCCCCGTGAAAGGGGCGCTGAAGCCATGCAGGAAATCGTTTAACCGACTTATTCTGTCCACCACTCATTGGATTTTCATAACAGCCTTCGTCTCACCACTGGATTAACTGCCTTAAAAGCCGTCGGGCTTTCACGACATGCTCCCACAGCCGCCGGGCTAAACAACGAAATTCACTTCCACTCAAGGCCAGGCAGGTTCCCAACCCCCCCCCCGCCGAGTTCTACTCCCCACCTAATTAGGGCAACACAGGGAAATGGTACTCGACACACTTGTGTGTCGGTGCCTTTCCCTCTGTTGTCCCTTTTCTAGTCTACTCTACCCGGGCGGTTTAAGACTAAAGTCCCGCTCCCTAACTATTGCACGTAATTCGTTTCTGCTAAGTAGTCAGTAACCCTAGAGTGCTAGGTAGTCATACACACACACACACACGGACACACACATGCCACATACATCCCCTCCCTGCCCCCCGCTTTCTTTCTTACGCTTTTGGTCGTTTCTTGGGCTTTCTCTCAGGCTTTTTAGGTTGTTCTTGAGGCGCGTTTCCCTACCCCAGTCAAGGGCTAAGTCTTCATCTTTCATTTTTCTACTCCTATGTTTCTCTCTTGCCCTCTTAGCGGTGCTCTTTCTGTGTTTCTTTCTTTTGTTTCTAAGGCTTTTTAGGTATCTATTCAGGCCTTCCACGCAAGCGCCGCCAAGCGGCACCGTGTGTGTGTCAACCCCTGTTTCCAAGGGTTCCACCCCACAATTTCCACTGTTCAAGCAGGGGGCCAGCGGCCGACAAGCAACCGCTGGCTAACAAAGCTATGCTTGTTCGGTGGATGCACAGTCTGACCAACTGTGTGTACCTGCGCCAAACTTTTGATCAAGCTGTTCCAATGCTCCTTTTTTGATTCCATGGTGGTTCATGACACCTTCACCTTTCTTTCGTCGCTTTCTCGTGCAGCTGAGTCGTGCAGATGCTCGCCACCGCAGACATGTCAACAGATTGTTCAATCAATACAAATGCGCTGACCTCTTCACCTTGCGCTTCCTTCACCTTCCTTCTCGACTTGGGAACTGAGCTAACTGAAAACCAATGTCAGAGTGTGTCAATTGGTTTCTTTATGTGTTGTGTTTCTAGCATGATTGGTTTGTGTCTCTTCAGGTGGTGTGTTCCTAACAGATGCTCAACGAATTGATTTGTTTTCTTATGTGTCCAGAATATACATGTTCTATTCATGGTTTGTTTGTTTGTTTTTGTTGCGTTTCCTGCGTATGTTCACTTATGTGTGTTTTTTGGTGTTTCTATCACATTTGACTAAATTGGTTTGTTTATTTGTTACGTTTCTAGTATAATTTCAGTTAATTGATTTGTCTGTGTATTGTGTTTTTAGCGTATGTTCAATAATTGTTTTTTAAAAAAATGTGTGTCTATCATATGTTCAGTTATTTGGTTGGTTTATTTTTTGTGCTTCTAGCATGTGTTCTATATTTTGTTTGTTGTGTGTCTATCAAATTTTCAATTTTCTAGCCTTTGTTCAAAGAATTTTTGTTTTTTAAACAATATATTTGGTTGTTTTTAGCATATGTTCAATCAACGATGCAACAAGTGCTTATCAAATCCCAAACCACGTTTGCTTTGTGAATATGAGACCAAAAATATGTGTTCGTTGATTTGTTTCCCGGGGCATTTTCTTCATCCCTCCAACTGGGGACCTCCAGGCTCCCAGTGCTCAACCCCAGACCATCCATGTATGGAATAGTTACTTAGTTACTTACATGGAAGGGCAAGGATCGCAACAATATATGCATATATGTTACTACTAACTACTAGTCTACTAACTACTAGTCCACACATGGATAGTTTGTCCAATGGTGATGATTTTTTTTGGAACTCACAGGAGACTCTTCTGGCGGCTCGCCGGCTGTTGTCCGTGACCTGCGACTGTTGTGAACAGCTGACGGAGAACTGGGACATTGCTGAGCCGTCGCAAAGCATCTTGGCCTTGCTGCAAATCAATAATCCCGAAGCCTGGCAGCCAAAGAGCAGAGGATTTGTTGGATTGTTGTGTCCAACATTCAGTGATAGTCAGATGGGAAGAAGTTTGGGAGTAGATGAAATAGATGGGAAGAGCAGGTGCTGATAGTCCATTTATGCTGCCCCACAAAGGTTTTTACGTTCACACATTTCGAGATACTCTTGGTTCTTTTGGTTCTGATTCTCTATAGATCCATTAAACCGCACTTGGAGTCCACCGCACAAACGGAGGTCCCATGGGTTTTTCTCGGAATCTGCAGTGCCAAAGAGCTGCCGTATCCCAGCTGATCTACAAACCCAGCAGCAGATGATGAGCAGACTGGCATTTTTTTACCTGAACTCACTTCCGGAAACTCTGTAAAGGAAAACTGCACACCTGTTTGGATTCATGGTTTGCCACCTGTGTACTTGAACATCATGATTTCAGGGAGTGTTATGAAATTGCTGCCAGGAGGAAGATCTGAAGATGGTGGATCACGGCATACCATTGACCTTGCCATTCTTGGAGTTTATTTGGGAGGAAGATCAGGAACGGTTTGTCCAATTTTCTCCGTCCTCCTTGCATTTGCGCATGAAGACTTGCCACGGTCATTCCTTCGAGGCACAACTCTTTCATGTGGATGTGCCAGGTGGTCTCATTGGCACTACAAGGCACCTCATTGGGATCAGTAAATTAGAGGGTGAGATGCACCGTATTCCTGAACATTGCCCCTTGGTGTCTTCCCCTTTCCTTGGAGCGACTTCCGGTGACACGCGCAGTGTGTCCTCTAGCGGCAGCGGAATCTCCGCGGCGAAGAGCGAGCAGCGCAGTTTCCGCCACTCGCACGCCGCAGCAGACCACTCGCAGCCGGAGCCACAAGCGCCTGCAGCATGGGGTGCGTCCGACGTGGATCGTTTCCTGCAGCAGATCGACTACATCTCCCTGCAGCTGGATTTGCGTCTGGCCGAGGGTTACCCGGTCCGTGCCCTACAGCTGGTCTTTCGTGACCCACCTCAGGCCATGCACCTGAAGAACTGGACGGCACGGAAGTGCCAGAAGCAACTGGAGCAGTTCCTCCAAGGCCTGACGGACGAGACCTCTCCCCTCTCGGCGAGCGGAGCCATGGAGTTCCGGGTGCCTGGCCTGGAGAAGATGCGCTTCAGGGCGCATGAGCTCCGTGTAGAGCCGGCATTGGAGGAGCAAAGGCTCTCCATCAGACTTGACTTGAAGAGTGTGAAGTTTCGCTAGCCATTCCGGCAGCCCAAACCTGGCAGAGTCCATGTGAGATTCGAAAAGAAAGACTTGACCAAGCCCAATTGTCGGCATAGGTATCAAAAAATAAAAAGAGCATCAAAATAAAAATAAAAACAGGATCAAAACAAAATTACAAAGCGAATCAAAAAATAAATATTCCTTGATAGGCCTTTTCTGCTGCTCTCCTGGCCTTGTGGTCTGTGGGTCCTCTGGTCCCTTGGTCCTCTGGTCCACTGGTCCTTTGGTCCCCTGGTCCCTTGGTCCTTTAGTCCACTGGTCCCCTAGTCCTCCGGTCTCCTGGTCCTCTGGTCCTGTGGTCCGCTGGTCCCCTGATATCCTAGTCCTTCTGTCTCCGAGCGCTCTGACAACGCCATGTAGGGCCTAACTTCGTGTGAACGCCGTGACTACTGCTGCTACCACTACTACTACTACTACTACTCCTCCTCCTGCTGCTGCTGCTGCTGCTGACTGCTACTGCTACTGCTACTGCTACTGCTACTGCTACTGCTACTGCTACTGCTACGCTGGTGCTGCTGCTGCTGCTGCTACTGCTACGACTACTACTGCTACTACTACCCCAACCATCCTCAGTGGGCTAGAATATTTTTTTGATTACCTTTTTATTTTCTTATTGATCCCCGTTGAATATTTTTTTGATTCTATTTTTAGATCCCTTACCCCAATTGTCGCAGTTGCATTCAGTCGATCAGGTTCTCATTTTCTATACTTAATTCATGTCAACTGCCAGAGCTTCTTTCAATTCCTTTAGATGATCCTGATGATCCTGCAAAAGTGCCCATGCATGGGGTTTTGTGCTCACAGGACTATTTGGAATTGAACGAGACCTGGGAGAACAGGCCTGTTTGTGTTGGACGACTACATTGCGTTGGTTTGCTGCTTCAAGCTTGATTCATCAACCATCTTGAACCAACTGATAGAGGACCTGTGACAGCCAGAGGCCAGAGGTGCGTTTTTTTCTTGGTATGGTTTTCTTGTTTTGGAGAGGAATTATAACATAAAACAACATCTATCACTATCAAACAGCATATGACATAACTGACATAACATATTAGATTCCACGCGAGCGCTTGTGGCAAAAAAAATCCACAAACTGCGACAATTGCCGAAAGTTCCGTGCCAAGCCATCCAATAGGTGCGCTCTTGCGATTTCAGGTCTTTTCTGGTCATCAGACCGATGTGACCAAGCACTCGTGCTTGGCGAACGAACAATGTGACCGCATGACTGTCACACACCCATACCGCTTGAACCTGAAAACAACGTAGGTTCGTTAGATCTGTGTTGGCCTTTTTCCCCAATGAAGGGTGAAGGGTTGGCCTTTCTAAACGCATCTAAACTAACATCTCTAGCATTGCTTAGGGTTTGGATGGGGTTTGGCGACAGAGCACAGTGCTCACTTCACTCACTTATACGGTATTACCCTCCTATACCTGATGAATCGCTTGGTCAATGCGAAGAATTCAATCCCCAACCACTTCAGTGGACCAGTCCAACAGAGGTTCACTTTATTAAACTCGGTAGATGGGAACCGAGTTCAAGGCCCGTGCAGGCCCGTGCAGGCCGAGTGGGCCTCCGTGGGAGAGGTAAAGCCCCCAAGCTATATGCTCGAGGTGTTTTTCTGTTTCGCAAGCATGTATTCTTCCGTTTTTCCAGTCCGACTCAGTGTAAGTGATGTGAAAGAAAAAACACCCCGGGGCAAAACAGGGAGCTCAACGGACAGGAAGCTCAACTTGACGCTCTCGTATAGCTGGGCTGCCCAGAACTCGAGACGTACTGAGACCTTGGTCAACTCCGCTGGGTCCACCATCCTCCACCCCTTCCCTGACACATGAGCGGTGCCCATTATAAAGACAAGCCAAACACCGTATACATGATGCTTGATTATGATGACGTAAGCACTTGGAGGTGGTTTGGGGTGACTTGGGGGTCTTCCTTTCACTCTACTTAGTGTATACTGGTAGTTCTTCTCGTCTCAGACCTGACAGGAAGTATTTACAGTTTGTGGGGACCCGCCAAGAAGGTCGGCCACGATTGGGATGAGTTTCTCTCTATGATGTGTTGCCGGCCTTCTCTGAGGCACTGGAAATATTGGCAGAAAAGACAGTCCCCCGAACAAACATAGTGCCTGTCCACAGGGTGGAAAGACTCCCTAGGATGAAAACGGGGCACTATCAGTTTGGGAGCATAAACCATCATAAACCTTTCAGATCGAGAAATGGGCATTGGAACTTTGTCATACTTTGTTTTTTTAGGGGATCCCTTGAAGAACCCTTGTCTCAGCGGGGGCTGTGGGGGCTGCGGCTGAGCTTGAGCAAAGACCAGCTTGCGAAATAGTTCCCGATCCCGATCCTTTAAAGAACAAGTCTTGAATACTGCAAGGTGACTGCAGACCATCGTTCTTCGAGTGGAGAAGGAAGACTGCAGATTGTCCGTTTAGTGGATGGAAGACTGCAGATGTGTTCGTCACCCAGTCGAAGTGTCGGATAGTCAGATGTGGAAAGGACAGTGTAGTTTTTAAAGGAAACAACATGTGTATGAACTTTTCAATAGGTCGAAACCCGCAAAGACCCCCTGGAGGACAAGTCAACAAGATACTAAGTTAGTGTTTGAAACCAATCCTCCTCCATGACTTCACTACTTCACCTTACTTCATGCCAAAGGTTGCAAAAGGGTGGGCTTGAGATACAGTTGAGAATCCTGCTTGGAACACCAGCCTGGGTCCTCAGGCCCCACGAGCCTTTTCGCCTGGAGCATTCAGGCGAGAAGAGAAGGGAAGGGCGACCCTGTTTGGAGGGCGACCCTATAGTGCTAATAGACAATAGACTGTTTTGCTATAGATTGCTATAGACTGAACTATATATTAACGGACAAACACTTAGAAATACTTAGAACATTGTTTTCGTCCCAAACGGCAAATTCTATGACTTAGAACAAACAACAGGCATGTGGTTAGAGTAAAACACACACTAAGAAAATTTGTTTTAGAACACGGGCAGCACCGGCAAGAACCTATACACCCATCACTTAGAACGCACAAAGGTTTGGCTTAAAGATGTTTAGTGTTGCCTCAATGAGTTTATAAAGGAGGGCCATTTAATTTAGGTTGTTTTGTTTTTTAAAGGATGTTTTTGTTTTTCGTGGCTTCTGTGGCTTCGTGGCTTTCGTGGCTTCTGTGGCTTT